GATATTTATTTAAAACAACGAATTACAATGGGCTTTTCTGAGCCTAGTGCTGGAGGCAGATATCACACTGGAAAATGTCAGTCCGGTGTTCAAACATGATTTAAGGGCCCACTCCTGCAAACACTTAGGGCTTGTCTACACTTACATTTTATAGCGCTCTAACTTGTTGGCTCAGGAGGGTGAAAAATCACCCCCGAGCACAGCAAGTTTGAGCACTTTAAAGGACTAGTGTGGACAGGCTCCCAGCACTCGGAGCCACGCTCCCAGCGCTCAGAGCTATTCCCCTCGTGGAGGTGGATTACCAGGAGTGCTGGGAGAGCTCTCTCCCAGCCCTCGCACGTGACCACACTCACACTTCAAAGCGTTGCAGTGGGAGCGCTCCCAAGGTGGCGCTTTGAAGTTTCTAGTGTAGACGTAGCCTCACTAAAAACATGAGCCTGTGGAAGCCAACCAGTATGGCCAACAGTAAATTTTTGCAGATCCATTCCTAAGACTGGTGCCAAAGACTTTTACAGGGAAGCAGACCCACGTGTGGAAAATTACGTACCTCCATATGTTTTTGCAGGATTGGGTCCAAAGCCTGTAACCCAGTTTTTAGTCTGCTTTGCCAAACAAACACTTTCACAGAGTTTCAAATTTATAAAAGAGTTTACAAGTCTTAACAGAAACCAAGAGTTTGGAGGGGGCGGGGGGGAAAGAGGGAGATTTTTTGTATTTTCTAAACACTTCAGTGGGGGAAAAAATTGTTTTGATGTTAGCCTCCCCCTGCAATGTTTGGCATTGTGATAATATAGAAGAACCAGGGAAATGGAAGTGAACAGAAACAAAAACATAACTGAGTAATCTAGTTTCACTGTTGAAAGAAATACAAAAATAGAAACAGCCTAAAATGTGAAAAGCTCATTTTAAAAAAAAATATTACTACTCAAGTGCATTATTAGTAATACTACAAATTATTTATAAAACTACGTGAAAACAAGAAGCAACTGCATGAAGACAAGGAACTTAATCATTTTTAATTGTAAATTGTCTCTTTAACAGGCAGAAGAAAACCTTATATTCTTTGTATTTTACCAAAGAAACATGATTGAATAATCAGGTGTTCGTTAGTACGTATCTTGGAAACTGGTTTTAGAGTCTATTTCTCTGGGCTCCCACACTGCTTGCATCACAAAGTATGCCACATTTCAGCAAGATGTCTGTCTCCAGCACTAGGCTCTAATTCAGAATTTTAATCCTCAAAACATTGTCTAATCCTTAGAGATTACCCAGGGTCCCTTGGATTAAGACTAGCCAATTCCACTGTGGTTGAGAGAGGTGCAGTAACAGGGACCATTTGCAGCCACTGCGATGAGGCACTGACTCAGGATTCTTGGTCATCCACCCACCAACTGCCAGACTGCAAGAGGAGGAAATGACACAGCAACAGATGGGATCAGGAGAGAGGGAAGAACCAGCTAGTGACACAGGGCCTGCTCCAAGGCCCTCTGAAGTCAACTCCCACTAAATTCAGAGTAGGCTTTGAATCAGCACCATAATACAGAGCAGGGAACCAATGAGGAATGGGGGTAAAGAGAGAACAAACTTCAGCTGACAATTTTCAGGACAATCACACTATTGGATTAAAGCAACACCTATCACATTTATTTCACGGTTACAAGTGCTTCTGACCACAGAACATATGTCTAGTTTCAGAGCCAGTGCTGGCCCTAATCAGGAATCCCCCCACCCCAACACATACTAATAATGGAGTGGGGGCCCTTGAGCTGCTTGGGGCCCTAAGCAATTGCTTAGTCTGTTTATGCCTAGCGCCAGCTCTGGCTAGTTTTCTCTGACTGCTGCCATGCATTTCATTTCTTATTCTCCTGCATTTGGAAGCACTTCCTGCAACAGCATTAGTTTATGACTCACCAGAAATGGAATTAGGAAAGATGCCCTGAAAGAAGATGTACAATTGGCGTATCTCCTGGTTGTTACCTACTTCTAGTGGAAAGAAACACACTTGTCTGAAGTCAGAGGAAAGTGACCTAAACGTGCTCTCAGTAAAAAACTGGTGCATCCAGCAAAGCTGCACGCGTCACACAGAAGTAAAATGCTTAGCAAGGCTAAACAATGGAATACCATGGAGGAACCAGATTTTGCACGTTCCAATGAGTTATAGTAGTGCTATGTTTGATATTTAATTTTTGTGTGTGCGTGACTGCTTTAACTTACCCAGTTCTTAACATGGTCATGACAGGAACAGGCTTGTTCTTATCAATATTACCTTTGATGGTTATAACCTATGTGGTAGCAGCATGGAAAGTTTCTCTATTTTAGAATTAGTGTTGTTGCTTTATTAATCTCCCCTGGGTTTGTAAACGTTACACAGACAGTGGTCCCACTTCTAAATGGATTTTAGAACTCCCATCATATACACAGCATCATGTTCTGGAGATTACGATTTTTTTTAATATACTTTGCCATCCTCCATCCCACCTTGCACAGTCAATGTAATCTTTGTCTCCTTATCAAAGCAATCTTGACAGCAGATAAGAGTATCTGTTTAGACATTCCTTGTTTGTTTCATGCCATGTGGAAAATGGCTACAAGTAATATGTCCAGGATCTAGGACAAAAACTGTTTTATTTTAATATTAACACTTTAATTTTCTGTACAGTAGCCTCTGCTGAAGAATTGGTAGACATCACAAAGGCACATAAAATATCATCAGAATAATTTACTCTCAGGCCAAGACCGTGTAAGTTAAGTTTAATGAGACAATACAAGATTTACAGCCAAGTTATAAATCCCTGAGAATGGATTTAATTCACAGCATTTCACTTGGTGTATTGATCCAAGATCAATGGTGAATAAATAATGTAACATTCATTGCTGTTCACTGTTGAAGCCCTTAATTTAGTCATGAAGAAAATGAGTGTAGACCCACTGGAAAAGCAGATCTACAGTTAACAGATTTTAAACTAGGGCACCTTTAGCTTGTGAAGTAAAGAGGGCTAAAATGTATTTGATAGGTTACACTGGGGGACCAGGACCTTGGTAGGTTTCAGAGCAGCAGCCGTGTTAGTCTGTATCCGCAAAAAGAACAGGAGTACTTGTGGCACCTTAGAGACTAACCAATTTATTTGAGCATAAGCTTTCGTGGGCTACAGTCCACTTCATCGGATGCATAGAATGGAACATATAGTAAGAAGAGAGATATATACATACAGAGAACACGAAAAAGTGGAGTAAGAGGCTAATTAATTACAATGAGCTATTATCAGCAGGAGAAAAAAAACTTTAGTGATAATCAAGATGGCTTGAGTTGACAAGAAGGTGTGAGGACCTTGGTAGCATCCCATCAGATTTTACTTTTTAGAAGCTCAATAGCCCCTGTCCACTTAGCAGTTGCTTATCGTTTGGCTTCATAGGTAATTTCTTTTCTATCTTTAATGCTACCAGAGCTGATGGACATAACCCTGTTTGTATGGCACAGAAATTAAGCCTTCCCTAGATATATTTTGAAAGAGAGAGAACACCATCATTGACAACAATGGTCGGCAACATATACCACAAATTGGTGCTGAAGCTAATTTAGCTGCTGCTATAGACAGGAAAAACACATTTTCAGCACCATTACAAAAAGCATTCCTGAGACTTGGTTTTATCAAGCAATAAGTCAATCACCTAGAGACTAGACTTAAGAGTCAAATACTGGCTCTGTCATAGACTTTCTGTGTGACCTTGGACTTCAGGTCACACATTGTTAGGACAGGGATAATAAAACTTCAACTTGGAGAGGGGTTGCAAGGATTAATAGACAATGCTCTGAAATTCCCATACAACAGACACTATAGACGTGTTATTGTACTGCCATTTAATGGCAAGGATACCTAAAAAGCAGGGAAATAAAGATGGTTCATTGACCAGAAGACTGTCTGTGCTGATGTAGTAAATGTTAATATTACATAGGTTAAGGCCCTTTCTTTATCTGTGCCTAGTGCAACATCAAGAAAATATTTGACCCCATTAGAAAAACCACAAATAATCAGTGGTTGCACACTGATTTCATAATGCAATATGGGGAAAGAGGGTCCAGAAAGAGACTGATTTTTTTAGCTGGATGTATCCCCAGTGGGATAAAATCAAGTACACTTCCATACCCAAGGCTTGCTCCAGTATCATACTCTGGCATGCAATGCTCACACACACACACAGTAAAAGTATTAAACAGAGATTTTAAAAAGGAAAATCTCTCTGGATGAACTATAGTATTCTTCCTGTCAACTGCAAAACTAGTTACCCTTTCAGTTTCCACTAGCTGGTATTCCAAGCGTTTATGGATGCCCCTGATGCCAGGGGAAGGCAGAGCTACTTTTATGACGGTGGGTATGTATAACTATCAGTCTGGGGACACTAGTCCTGCTCCTGCCTGCTTCAGTTCACTTTGCTAGTACTGGGTGAATTCTAACCTCTCTTCTAACAGGGTCTCCCGGCCAACACAAATATGGACTTTGTGCAATTATCTGAGAACACCAGGGGTGGCAAGAGATGTTCAGTTTTCCTGCAGCGGTATTGATCTGGCAATCGGACACGGGCTCTGTCCTTAACAGTCCCGGGCCAGCCTCTGGGGCTGCCCGGTCAGTCAGCGCAGACATGATCCGTCACTGGCAGCCAGCAACATCACTTTTATTCTTAGCATTTCCTGTAAGCGGCTGTTTGTTGCATAAGGAAGAGCCACTGGAGCTACAGCCGCCGGGTAAGCCCCACGCACGTGCAGACAGAGCGGGAGGGGCGAAGCAGAGGGAAGGAGGGAGGCGAGGGGCAGCGCCGCTGTCCGGGAACCTTGACGCTCCCCCAAGCAGCCGGATTCTCAGGGCCGGGGGCGGGGGGATCCCTGCTGGCACCGCTCCCCCGCGGCTGCTGCACCCGCACCAGCAGCCGCCTCCCTGCCCGGGGGCCCGCACCACCCCGGCTGCAGCTCCCGGCCCCGGCGCCCCGGGGCTGCAGCAACAAACCTTGGCGGAGGGCGCGGCAGGCAGGTAGGGGCAGCCGCAGGGCGAATCACTCCGGCGGGGCGGCCACGGGGGCTCCCGGCGGCTAGCAGCACCCTGCAGCCCGCGCCGCGCAGCCACACGCCACGCGGCTCCGCTGGGAGACCGGCTGAGACCGGCCCGGCAGCTGGGGCGCCAGCCCTAGCCCGGGGCCCGCCAACCACGGCGCAGGGCGCAGCCAATGGCCCCCGCGGCAGCGCCCATGTGATCGTCAGGCCCCTCCCAGCTGCGCGGCGCGGCACCCCTGCGCTGCCAGGGATCAGGTGCTGCGGGGCCGCTCGCCGCAGGTGTGTGGGAGGAGAGAGCGGTCGCTTGGCCCCCGGGTGTTGTCCGCCTGCTTGCCAGGTCTGCTGCTTGCAGGATCGCCCCCGCTGCTGCCGCTCCAGCCTCACCGCGCCCCGAGAGCCCGGCCCAAGTTCCGGAGCCCCCTCCCGAGCCCAGCTTCCCCACGGTGCGGGGCACTGGGACCTTGGGCAAGCTACCTAATGGCGCTGTGTCGAGTTGGCTGTCTGTGACATGGGGAGAAGAGCGACGCAGGGACTGTGAGGGGTACCCGTTGAGCACCCCAAAGGGAAGGGAAAAGTCTTAGTGGTCAACAAATCCATGACCATTTGGGACTTAGTAAATGTCCCTGTGCTAAACACCTTGGCCCTGTGGGGCTGTCTGGCAACACCGGGGATGGATTCAGATCCTCTATTCCAAAACCAGAGGCACAGCTTTCACTACAGGAGGATGACAGGTTTCAGAGTAGCAGCCATGTTAGTCTGTATCTGCAAAAAAAAAAAAAAAAAAAGGAGTACTTGTGGCACCTTAGAGACTAACAAATTTATTTGAGCATAAGCTTTCATGATGTGAAGTGAGCTGTAGCTCAGGAAAGCTTATGCTCAAATAAATGTTAGTCTCTAAGGTGCCACAAGTACTCCTTTTCTTAGTACAGGAGAATGGTTTTTAGCAGTCTGAGGCATAGGACGTGTAGCCAAGCACTTTGGATTCTACAAAGGCATTGGTATATGTGTACCCTCCCTTCCCTCCCCCCATTCATTATTGTTTTATTATAAGAATATGGCAAGAATCTCAGTGTTCTTAAGACCTCTGTCTGGAGTCCTGCAGGTTACTAACTCTAGGCACATGAATAGTCCCATTGAAAACAATATCATTGACTCACATGCCTACAATTAAATATGTTCATAAATGCTTGCTGAATGGAGGCCTATAATTCTTATTAAGCTCTTTTAATGTTCTTTCTATAAGTCAGTCATATCTTTATCTTTAAAACATTTAGAACTTTAAGGGCCGTTTGTTATAAAGAGACAGCTGAAGGCAATTTAAGCTCACTATTCAGACTGTGGAGAGACAAGGTGAGGTAATATCTTTTAGTGGATCAATTTACATTGTGGGAGTGAGACAAGTGTTTGAACTTCATGAAGCTCTTCCTCAGGTCTGGGAAAGATACTCAGAGGGTCCCAGCTAAATACAAGGTCAAACAGAGTTTAGCATAAGCAATTAGCAAATATCTAAGGGACTATTCAAGATGAAGTGGCCCATTAACTCCTCTGTAGTCATAGGGTATAAAGAGGGATTGATGAGTTACAGATGGTTGTAATAAGCCATAAATCTAGTGTCTTTATTAGGATCATGATTTTTAGTATCTAGGAAGGTTATGAATTAAGATCCGAGGCTCATCTTTTGAAAGTGTGGTGTGGGTTTCCTGAAAGGATGAGGACTTATAGGTCAGAGATAGAGGGATAGCTTGTGAAAAGTGTTCACCCATAAGGGATGTTGTGTACATTATCCAGTGCCCTAAATGCCCCCAACACCCTATTTCCCCTTGTTTTTTCCTATCCCCCCCCCCCCGACATTCTTGTTAAACCCTGGATTTGTGCTGGAAATGGCCCACCTTGATTATCATACACATTGTAAGGAGAGTGATCACTTTAGATAAGCTATTACCAGCAGGAGAGTGGGGTGGGGGGAGAGAAAACCTTTTGAAGTGGTAAACACCCATTTTTTCATGCTTTGTGTGTATAAAAAGATCTTCTGTACTTTCCACAGTATGCATCCGATGAAGTGAGCTATAGCTCACAAAAGCTTATGCTCAAATAAATTGGTTAGTCTCTAAGGTGCCACAAGTACTCCTTTTCTTTAAAATAAGATAACCTTTAAAACAGAGGCGGGCAAACTTTTTGGTCCAAGGGCTACATCTGGGTTAGGAAATTGTATGGCGGGTCATGAATGCTCACAAAATTGCGGGTTGGGGTGTGGGAGGGGGTGAGGGCTCTGGGGTGGGGCCAGAAATGAGTTCAAGGTGTGGGAGGGGGCTCTAGACTGGGGCAGGGGGACAGTGAGGGCTCTAGCTGGCGCTGCAGGTTCTGGGGTGGGGCTGGTGATGAGGGGTTGGGGGTGCAGGAGGGTGCTCTGGGCTTGGACCAAGGGGCTCCTAGGGCAGGAGGGGGATCAGGGCTAAGGCAGGGGGTTGGGGTGCAGGCTCCAGGCGGTACTTACCTCAAGCAGCTCCCGGAAGCAGCATGTCCCCACTCGGGATCCTACGTGGAGGCACGGTCAGGTGGCTCTGTGCACTGCTCCATCCACAGGCGCCGCCTCTGAGTTCCCATTGGCCATGGTTCCCGGCCAATGGGAGCTGTGGGGGCAGTGCTTGGGGCGAGGGCAGTGTTTGGAGGCCCCTGGTTGCATCTATGCGTAGGAGCTGGAGCGGGGACATACCGCTGCTTCGAGGAGCCGTGCGGAGCCACCGCACATGCGGAGTGGGGCAAGCCCCGGACCCCGCTCTGCAGTGGGAACTCAAGGGCCGGATTAAAATGTCTGAAGGGCCAGATGTGGCCCCCGGGCCATAGTTTGCCCACCCCTGCTTTAAAAACAACTAATTTCAGTGAAAACATAACTTGGTTTGGAGTTAAATGTTTCCTGCAGTGTCTGCAACCTAAACATTATCGTATTGTGCTACTGCTTGAGTACCAGAAACAGCAGCAAAACACCTATAAACAAAATAAAGCCAAACAGTTTGCGTCATTGTCCAAGATACGTGAAATGCAACAGGAAACTAAATCTTTGCTGACATGGCCCCGCCCGACCAGTCACACATTGTAGCCCTAAATGCTCACAGCTTCCTGAAGAACGGAGGGCACTTCGTCATATCCATCAAGGCCAACTGCATCGACTCCACAGCGGCGCCTGAGGCCGTCTTCGCCTTCGAGGCGAAGAAGATGCAGCAGGAGAACATGAAACCCCAGGAGCAGCTGAAGCTGGAGCCCTACAAGCGAGACCAAGCTGTGGTGGTGGGGATTTACAGACCTGCTCCCGAACAGAAGAAGTAGCATCTCCTTGGAGCTCCTTGTCACTGGGCCCCCAGGCTGGATCCCTTCGTCTGCTGGCATTGGGCCTGGGTGTGGGGTTGTCTTGCTGCCCACCCTTCCTCTCCCCCGGGACTCATTTCTATTCGGCTTTGTAGATTTTTTTTTCCAGATGTATTTTTATTAAAATATGGTAAAATGGAAACAAAAAAAAACCCCACCACAAATGGCAGAAAGTACACTTGAATTTCAAAATCCTTTCAGTTTTAATTATCTAAAGGATTATTTGCAGAGAGGATCCTTTGGTAACTCTCCTTTGGTTCATCCACGTGGCGCTTATTACAGGCCCTGGAGAGCCGGGGGAGGGATCAAAAGGTAGGTTTATACGACCTTTGCCCTCTCTCCATCCACGGGACTCCAGGGTTTGCAGTAATCTACATTCATTTGTGACAGCCCTTTAGAAGAAGGTACACTCATGGGGGTTCCCAGACATGTACACTGCTCTCCAGCAATACCTCTTCACGGGAGAAGTTGGAATGGGGTGTTATCCAGTTTGGGATCTCCAGCTGCCTCGTTTAAGGCTGCTTTAACCCAGTTGGGCTTGACGACTTAGTCCTTTGCTTTTTTAAAATTTGATTATTTTTAACCTACTCTTCTCCATTTAAAGCTCTTTAAAATTACAGAGGAAGGACCTCTTCAGCAACATCAGCTTCAGAGACCAAAGGAAAATTAGGTCAACTCTATTCAGCTTTCATCTTTGAGCACTGTTCTCATCAATTTATTTTAATTTACTTCAGTTCTGTTTTTAGCTCAGCTCCTGTTTCGAATAATTAGTTGTAATTTATTTTCAACTGTTTTTAGGAAGTTCAGTCTGGCTTTTGGTTATTTTTCTCTCTTAGATCATCACTTATATTATTTTTGGCCAGCTTTGAAAAGTCTCACAAGTGTAACCTTGGTAGGGTAATTTGTTTTGTTTTAACTGACATAGAGGCCATGCTTATGTAGGGTCTCTGCTTCTGGGGCTCCATGCACTGAAGGATTAACAGAGATAAAAGCAGGCCATGCTGGTAAACATCAAGAGAGGTGAAGACAGATAATAAAAAGCGTCAGTGATTGGGAAATCCTGAATTTTTCTGCCAGCTGTCTACAATCAAGCATAAAAAGATTTTTTACCAACTCAGAACTTGACAAAACTAGCTGGATCCACATATAAGTTTAGTGTCAAATCAAAGGAGTCTTGCTAAGTCCAGACATACTAGCAAGAAAAAAAATGAATCCAGAAGCAGTAAGTGAGAAAACAGTTAGAACCAGAGAGATCTAGATACAATTAGAGCCCAGTTCTGACACAAACATGTAGTAGGTGCTGTAATGGAGTGTAAAAGGCTCACCTCCTACAGAACATATGGTTTTTATCTCTTTTAGTTGCGTGTCTCTAAAGGTAATTATAACTCTTTAAGCTCTATGCCTCCCTTATTTTAAAACTTTCCTGTCACACAAACTCTTAACCTTTCCCCAGTTTTGAGTGTGATGTTTGCCTTCTTCAGAACAGTCTCCTTTAGGCCCAATTCCTTAGTGCCCTATGGCCCCTTTTGCCAGATAGGAGCCCCTGTGCCTGGCACATGGATGGCTGTGTATCCTCTACACAGGATGTGAGGCATTCCAAGGTGTGATGGAGGAAGGAGGTGATGGTTCTGGCTCAAGGCAAACCTGACCCCCAGCTTCTCTGCTTTCCTGCAGTGGTCCACAGCTGGCCATTGCTACAGGAGTATGAGTTAGAGTGGCCCTCAAGTTATGCTATCTAAAAAAAGATATACGAGAAACAAAAGTGAGTTCCCTGAATCT